CTGCGTTCTGGGTGACCTTCGGTCTCATAACCTCGGTGAACCAAAACGCGGCCCCAAAAATGCTGTAGAAGAGTGTTCTAACGAGACGCAGTTGAGCCTCCAGGCGACAACTAAGATACCTGGAAAATATGGAGTAGGACAGATTGGGTGTTAAGTCCAAGGCTGCAAATGTAAGACAAAAATTCACTTGTTGTGGGTATTCGGGACCTAGGTTTTCAGTAAGCTGAGAGTGTCCAACCATCTCGCGAGGGCTTTCAACGCCTACGCATGTTGTCAATGGGCACACGCTGGGTGAGGGTGCTCTGAGCTTCGTTTATTGAAAACTTCAGTGTCTTACCCGTCTGCCCCGCTTGACGGCGAGCAAAATCGAGAAATGACGGCTAGAACCTCAGAGTCTGTTGAGGCGCTCTCATGCTTCCCCACCCTCTCCCTCTCTCCCTCTGGTTCACTTCCGTGCATACAAAATCTATCATGATGGGCAGTAATTCTATCCGACAGACCCACTAAGGCCAAATACGGCATAAAAGGGACGAGTAAGGGTTTCTTCCACAACCCAGGACACCTTTTGCCAGAACAATTCGGTGCCTCTTTTGGAAATTAGGAACACAGTCTATCCCCCGATATTCACGGAGGTAAGGGACCAATAGTACCCGTGAACAGCTGAAATTCACGAATATTTGAGAGCCCTCTATAAACGTTTATAACTGTCTATTTTTAGTGTTCAAACACCAAATATACCTTAAACTAGCATCACGGAGCACTCTACTATTGTTTTAAAGTCAACATACAGCACTACCCTTAGAAAATATGTGGGTTTCTGGTACGCGTGAACACACCTACAACTGTTACTCTTACCAAGGCGAAAATAAATGAATTGGCGAATATTTTAGATATGTTCTACGAAAAAAGGAATCGGCGAATGGACGGGGTCAAGCGTAAATCGAAAGTTGCTCGGAGGGCAGATATAATAGTCTGCAAGCAGGGCGGTCGGGAAAACCTGTGGCAAAGGGTGAGGGAGGGAAGTCTGCCACTAAAGCTAGTGAACTGTGGACTCTGAACCTGTTCCAAAAGTCGCAAGTTTTGGCAAATTGGTGACCTGTGTTCGGATGCAATCATCAGCGGTATGGAAGGAACAGACTGCCTGAACATTAGATGAATTGCTCGAAGGGGAAGAATAAAACCAATCCAGTACCATGTGAATGGACGAATGGCTTTGGCCTAACTCCAACCGCAAAAGTGTGATCTGAAACCAACAACACTACCCCCCCCCCTGGTCCCACAAAAAACAACTGGACAGGATACATAAACGGCGCCTTGAGGCAGAAAATCTGCCTTGAATTCGACTGATAAGGGGTGGGGGATTGAACCGAAATTTCGACTAATAAGTCAGCGCGGAGGTAAAAAAATTCGGCTTAAAACTAATTTAACGATGCGGGAAGAAGACGGAGGCTGGGGTGGGTTATGGTCGTAATTGGCTGCAATTGCACTTTGAAATGCGCGCAAACTCTGTAGGCATGACGCCAATTCCCAGACTTACCACTTACGCCCCACCAGCGGCGGTCCCAGCGCACGAAAAAGCGGCGAAAAAACGAAACAGAC